TTTCTTTTCATGCTCGTCAAGTAATTATTTGCAAGCACATGTAACACTCTATTCTCATGCTTGAGCACTCTGATATCTTGTTTAAGACTTGCCACCTCAGCCATCAATGATTCAACTTGGCAAGTTTGAGCAAGTAGGCGTTGGCCCATATTGGATACAGAGCCCACACACTGAACACTGAGAGCCAAGAAGTCTTGAACGGCCGACTCATCAGACTGTTTTGAAATGATCCTGTTATCCTTTGGGGTGAGAAGATTCCTAGCTACCACAGTAGCGGTTATGTTATTCTTCATCACAGAGTCCCCACTCGTAAGAGGGCCATTAGAAGATAAGAAGGACGGGCGCCATATATTATCCTGACGTTGCTCGTCTGTATCACTCCTAAGACTCAAATATAAGCAAATGTTAGATGGGCAAGTCATTTTCAGAAATGATGAAGGAAAAATGAGGTCAAGTAAAATTTCAGAAGTACAAGAAGAAGGAAATTTCTACAGGCAGCAACTTTTTGAGCATACTCTTAAACAGAATTGATGTCTCTATAAAAGAAAAGGCAACAGAGCCACTCGTTCAGAGATCGAAGAGGCACCACTCTCCGAATTTAAAAAGCTAGATTTTCCTGAATAAAGTTCGTTGGCATTTTTCAGACGCAATCTCAGCTTTTTTGGATATCGCGTACAACTTTGTCAAATATCTCTGACAAAGTTGAAAACGCGTAAATCTTGCTGTTCTAATTACACCACAGTTGCTGACAAGAGTAAAGGCACAACACCACTACCTGCTATTGAAAAATCTCTATATATGTCGATCTCCGTTTTCCATAACAAGGCAAACCTGCAAGAATATCTAACTCTTCCTCATCTCCGAGAATGCATCTTCAACAAAGCATCTCGAAATACTCATTTTTCTTCCTCTCCGAGAATACCTCTTCAAAACATGTCACACAAGAGGAAGAGTATCTCATATCTTCAGGGACGAGAGTAAGAGTATCTCATATCATGCAATCTCTCTGTCATTTCCTTTGTCATTGTTCTTACCTGCAAAGACAAGGATAAAGAAAGCAATATGTCGGAACCTCCACTCAAACCGCCAGTAAGGAACCGACTGCCTGGAACCTTTCCTGATTGCTTACCTAGTATTGCTTTCAAGTAGCTATCTTCAACTGTTGTTAGAGCTGGGTCTCCAGTCACTAATAAGTGATAAACCATCCAAATGCAAGGGTTGCATTTCACTACTGCATTAGAAGGCAAATACTGCAGGAGAATATGCCACACATACATAGGGGAAAACCAGGGAAAATACTGCTTAAGTAAAGGAAACAAGTAAGGCAAGTGAAAATGATACATTGAAGCATGTGGAGACAAGCGCAACAAATACGTGCTGATTCATCCCCGACAAAACCGAAGATCACTTGCCACGTGAAGCTCTTCATGGTCCAATTTCATTCAAGATCAAACCTCGAAGCCCTTGAAGAAATCACAAGTCTGATTCAAAAGCAAGTGTCCACCACCTTTGAATCAAATTCCGCTCCAGATAAAAGGAGTAAATTCAGACCTTTGGGGTAAGTCTAGCAGAAGGCTTTCCAACCCAGTTCAAGAACAAGCCTGTGGAAAGTTAACAACAAGTAAAACATCTCTTTCGGCAACTCTTCTCGTTAAGAGACTGAAGCAGAATAATCAACGATCAGCCTAAATGATTTGAAATCAGGGGGAGATATTCATCAGGGGGAGCATCCAAGACATATCAAGATTTTAATGAGTCAATCGAAGACTTGTGGCCATCCAAGGGGGAGTGTTGTAAATATGGTGGATACTGGCCACTAATCCACTAAGCTACAAGTGGGAATAAAGGTTGTCTTTCGCTGTCTGCCAAAGCTTACTCCCTATGACTCATGTTTTCTATATAAATGCAACACACACCAAACATAGGTGAGTGACTCACGGTAAAGAGAGAGGAAAGAAGAGGAAGAGAGAAAAAGAGAGGAGATAATAGAGAGAGTTATCTTTGTACTCCTATTATTCCAAATTATAATGAAAGCATCACTGCTGCCCCGAGGACGTATTCCAGTCACACTGACTGTAGAGGAACCTCGTAAATTTTGTGTCTTATTTCTTTTATTCCACTACACACACTGTCGATTTTACAACAACCCTCACGTTATAGCTAGGTTAAAAGCATGATCGATTTAATGCCTTATTATTAGAGTTAGGTCTCGCAAGTGTTTATATCGTTTTCATATCATATTTATTATCTTAAGGAGCTGTGTCATGTCAAACTCGTAATCTTAACTAGTTCTTAACAAATGACCCAAAAACGACCCAATTAATTAACAGATCGTGTCATTTCATGTCAGATTAATAGGTCATGCAAGAATATTGTTATGCCTACTGTTTAGGTCTGACAAACAATATCTTATCGAATTTTTAATGGATGATCTGATAACTACCCAACACGTTAATGGATTACTCAATAACAATCCGACTCATTATATTCGTGTTGTTTGTGTCAAGTTCTAACAACCACACCCTCACGTCATAGGTTAAAAGCAAGATCGATTTTACACATGACTTTTAATGCCTTATTATTGGCGAACCCTCCCTACAACACGACAATCCTGGTAGCTTCTAACAACCACCCTCTCACGTAGACGTACCATTGCTAAAAGAAAATTGAATTAGGTAGTTGTTGTTGGAAGTTTTGAGACTCTTGTCCCACATTGGGGAAAACAAGATTCTCAAGGGCCTTTATATAGATTTAATGCTTTGGTCTAGTAATTAGAACATGGACCATTTGGAATGGATTGAAGGCTTGGGCCTTATGGTTGTGTGGATTAGGCTTGTATAATATAGCCTAAATACAATTAATATTAATTAATCAAGACAAAGGCCTTCCTTAGGGCACTTGGAATTTAAAATTAATCTGATTCATTAATTTTAATTTTTGAAATAAGTTTTGAATTAATTTATTAATTAAAAACATTTTGATTAAAAGACATAGCTCTTAGAAAGAGTTGTGTACCTTCAAATACACTGAACATGTATTTGAAAGGGTGTGAAACAACCTATATATATGCAATCACAGTATCCAAATTTATCATATTTCTTGCTCTTTTCTTCCGTACGAATTTTCTAGAGAGTAAACACACAAAAAGCAAATTTGCTAGAGTTCTAGAATCCAGTGCGGATTGTAGAAGTAGGTAGTTGAACCTGGTCGAGCAGACGTTGTAGAACCACAAGCACAGGAGTGGGACGTAAATATTGTTCGAAGGACATAGCTTTTACGCTAGCCTCTACCTTCTATAATCAAGTTAGTAACATCAATATTCTTATATTAATTTTTGTATTATTGTGTAATTTTCGTTTTGCATAGCAAGTATATTTTGGTTAATAAAATATTAGAATTTTTGTTATTTTTGTTTATTTCTGAATTGTTCTCCAACAGTTGTCGTTTATCTTAATAGAATTCACAATATCATCGTCCAATGGCTGACAAATCTTACACTAATTTTTTTAGGATAAATTGTCATTTTAATCATTGAATTATCATTTGAATGAAAATTAAGTCTATAAACTATCTTTTCAGAAATATTAGTCATTAGATGATGATATCTTGGAGTCTACTAAGAACAACAACAACAATCTAGTAATTCAATGACTTAATTTTTACTAAGGTGATAGTTTTGGAACTAAATTGACCTTTCACATATTTTTTTTATTCAGAGTTCACAGTATACTTTTCAACCTATATATACCAACTTAGAATTCTTTTTTTGAATTACACAAAATTGAACTGACTTGACTAAACTCAAATCTGCATTTTAGCATTCTTGTTAGGACAATCATAACTGGTTTTTAAGGTTGTAGGTTTGCAATTCAAGTAATTAAGAGTGATGTGATATTAATAAACAGAAAAACAAAATTGATATTTTACAATAAATTGATAACACTACAATACATGATGGTGTGACAATCTTACATAAAACCCCATGGATAATAGCTATTCAAATGAATAGAGGGACATTTATACCTCTTGTGCGGAAACTTAAATCTCGACATACTCCTACAAACACAAACCAAGGTGTAGAACCTCGTTGTTGGCACGTCTTCCTCATCTCAAAACCAAATAAAATGATTGAATTATGGAATCTAATGTTCAATGCTTACTAATTCATTGTATTAACAAGAGGTGAATTAATTTTTCTTATTAGATGTTCTAGCTCCTTGTATTATTAAACTTTGTATTAATTTTTTTGTTTTGCGAGTACAAAGTTATGAAAAAGTGAGTTATAATTTAATCAAGTAGACAATGTTTTGAATATTTAAAGTTCGTTTAGATGTGCTTTTAAAATAACTGAAAGCATTTTTAGAGAAAATATTTTTGGGTTCCAAAAGCGTTTTAAGTGATTTCTACGAGAAGCACTAGTTATGTGCTTCTTCCAGGAAGCACTTTAAGTGTTTTTTTCAGGATTTATTAGCATTTTACTAAGCATTGTTTCCAAAAATATTTTCACCTAATGTACTTTCAGTCATTTTAAAAGCACATCCAAATGAATTCTTAATCAACCCCAATTCAACTTATCTCCATTTAAATAAGACCCCACCTGATGTGCGTAATTTGTATGGACTTGTGACACCACGTGGTCTTACACATTACTTTATAAACCCTAGACGAAGAGTAAGAAATGGTTTAATGACATCAGAGTAAGAAATGGTTTAATGACATCAGAGTTGCGATTGCCTTACCCACACGCACTCGGGTGACCTCAGACAAAGAGTAAGAAATGGTTTAAGGTCATCAATACTAACCAACGCATGATTTGATGTCCAAAATACAAAAGCTAAGAGACCAATAACTAATGGTCAAAGTCGTCATGTGGAAATTCACATTGCTTTAGACATTCACACTACTTTTGCAGTGAACATTCGACTGCTTTTACAAGACGTGTGAGTTTTTAACTTAGAAATTCCAGTTGCACAGAACCGTGACTTGACAACCTTAAAATGAATTAGCCATTCTTGAGTACCGTATATAATGATGTGTAAGGCGGTTGCAAGGGTTTCCCATCTGCATGAACTAGTCAAATTGCATCAATGGAGCTCCTCCAATTTGATTCAAAACTGTTGACGTCCCTTGTGTTGCTAGGGTTTATAGGATCGTTGGCACGTCTCTACAATGGGCATGTGGCGAAGCCGAAGAGGCTTCGTTCCTTGCTAACCAAGCAAGGAATCAATGGACCTCCACAAACTCTTCTGCTGGGAAATATTTTGGAGATAAAGGAGGCTCGAGGCTCCAGCAATTCTACCATTGAACCCCCGATCTCTCACAATTGTGCTGCTCTTCTCTTTCCATTTTTTGAGAAGTGGAGGAAACTTTATGGTATAAATAATATGCATATAATTATCCATTTAGTACTATGTTTATGATCATGATCCTCTCCTCATCACATACAAGGACAACTTTCATGGAAGGGTTCGGACATACATGTCTGTCATATATAGCATATCGGTTTTTCCTTTATATTTTTACTTGGATCTGTTTTTATGCTATTGGCTATTCTGTTGATTCTTCTCCAAATAGGAACCACCGATTTACAAATATTATTAACCACAGAATTTAGTGAGCCGCGCCAAATCTTTCTAGCCTCTTTCGCTGTCAAGGTACCTATGGTACCAGTTCATATTTGGTTACCTGAAGCTCATGTAGAGGCACCTATGGCAGGATCTGTCATCTTGGCAGGAATTCCTTTAAAATTGAGAACCTACGGGTTTTTTAAGATTTTCAATACCCACGCGGATACGAAACAGAGAGAAGAGGAGGGGGTGGGTGGGTATTTAGTACTATGTTTATGATCATGATCCTCTCCTCATCACATACGAGGACAACTTTCATGACAGGGATCGGATACGGACCCCCCCGCGCGGGGGGGGGGGGGGGGGTGTGTATCTCCGGATACGAAAGTTTATGCATATATAATCATATTCAAATTTTATGGCCATTAGAAAATTAAGTTGATTTTTTCTCAATGATGAAATTCTGTCTACTGATTAACGGCTAGTGGGAAATATTTTGTACAGGTGAAGTATTTGTGTTTGCACTTGGAAACACACAAATATTATACGTGAACCAACCTGATGCAGTGAGGGAGATTACAACATGCACATCCTTGGACTTGGGGAAACCAACGTATCAATTTAAAGAACGCGGTCCTTTGCTCGGTCAAGGTATTTTAACCTCAAATGGTGCCTCATGGGTGCATCAGCGCAAAATCATTGCTCCTGAACTATACATGGAGAAGGTTAAGGTATATATACTCTTAAGCAGTCATTAAACGATCAAGGGTGTAGTAATCTTAGTAGTAGCGCTTGGTGTAGTATTAGAAATAGAAAAATGGTTGAAAAAAAATCTCTAGGCCACCTTTGTTTTGATTGCAATTATATATGGTCACCCCACAGGGAATGATTAACTTAATCGCGGAATCTACGGTTACACTGATAAATTCATGGAACAGTAGAATTGAGGCAGAGGGAGGAATTTCTGACATAAAAATAGACAGCTACATGGGAAGCTTCTCTGGCGATGCTATCTCAAGAGCTTGTTTTGGAAGCAACTATTCCAAAGGGGAGGAGATATTTCAGAAACTAAAGAAACTCCAGGAGGCTATGGGCAGGAAAGCTTTTCTGGCCGGAATTCCCGGAATGAGGTACTCACCGTTGAGAAAACGTATCTACATCTAGGATGCCGTTGTGGTGGTATCCCAAGCTAATCATGCACTACCATAGGTTTCAACATTTCCGCATAACAACAGTTGATTGGCTTGAGATATCGTCATGGCATCCTTGTGCGGAGAAGTTCTTCTCCACTATTAGGTCTTCCTTATATAAATCCATAACCAACTATATAAATTTAGCCAAATCTATGTTCATCACATATATACATATAAATGCGGTAACATCTTTTGTAGGTATTCAGGTACTCTCACATAATTGATTAACTCGGTCTGCAGATGTTGTACATATAACACTATTCTTGAAATCAATACTTGTTTACCCATAATCTTATTAAGTAATCGTAATCTTGTTGCAGACACCTTCCCACAAAGAGCAATACGGAAGTTTGGACCTTAGAAAAGGAGGCTAGCTCTTTGATACAGCAGGTAGTGAAGGAAAGGCAGGCAGCAGAATATGAGAAGGACATATTGCAAATTATTCTTGAGGGTGCTAAAAACAGTAACCTTAGCCAGGAGGCAACAGACCGCTTCATCGTTGATAACTGCAAGAACATATACTTGGCCGGGTATGAAACCACAGCAGTTGCAGCCACATGGTGCCTCATGCTGTTGGCTTCGAACCAAGAATGGCAAGAACGTGTCAGAGCCGAGGCTCATCAAGTTTTCCAGGGCCGCGTTCCTGATGCTGAAATGGTTCGTAACATGAAACAGGTATTTGATCTTTACATGACTATGATATATGTTTTATTATTATACTCCCTGATTAAGATGTATGTTTACATGATCAACGTTTGGAATTCTTCCATGTTTGAAAGATATATTGCTGTGATAATGCTATGAAATCAAAGTCTTGCAAAGTAGTATACTGTATACAACGCCTTGAGATCTCTAATCTCAGCGCCCTTTAGAATTTTGGGTTTCATGTATCAGTTACCATAAACTTGACCTTTTGAATTATGTGTGCAGCTAACAATGGTGATTCATGAATCGTTGCGTCTATATCCCCCAGTTAGTGTGGTGTCAAGGGAGGCATTGAAGGACATGAAGTTCGGGGACATTCATGTCCCAAAAGGTGTCAATGTTTGGACCATGGTGGTGACACTGCACACTGATCCGGAAGTATGGGGACCAGATTCGTACGCGTTTAAACCCGATAGGTTTGCGAATGGGATCACAGGCGCTTGCAAGCTTCCGCACTTGTACATGCCATTCGGAGTTGGTCCTCGAATCTGTCTAGGACAGTACTTTGCCATGGTTGAGCTCAAGGTACTGATAGCTCTCATAGTATCCAACTTCTCCTTCTCACTTTCTCCCAAGTACCGTCATGCACCTACTCTTAGATTAGTTGTGGAACCAGAACATGGTGTTGATCTCTTGGTGAAGAAGTTACGACAAGAAGCAGCTAAATAATCATTGTGCTGAAAAATAAGAGAGGCTGGTTAGGCCCCCTGCTCTCTAGAGTTTAGTCTGTTCACTTGGTGTTGCTGGTTCCAATAAGGCTTGTTTATTTGTACTGCGCTTGTAACTATATACTAAAATTTCTTAATAACGAGTTCGTCTTTCTTCTATCCCCCGTCAATTTAAAGTAGCTATCTATTTTTGAGGTTCCACCATAAAACCAATTGCCAAAATGGTGAGAGGCCATATATACTCCACAATTATTGCTATATACTCAATGTATAAAACAAATCGACGGAGTTGACATCAATCGTGCAAACAAGGGCCCATCCATGAGCGACAGTCTTGACATTCCAGAATCTGTTGGTGTATCTGCCCAGTTGCCAACTCGTTTGTCATCAAGGCTAGTTGATTTAGACACGGAAGACGGGAAACAGGAGAACTTAGATTCTGACTTGTACAGTTCGAAGTATCCTCTGCTTTTCCCTTTTAGGAAAAATGAGAGACGGATAACTTAGAGGAGATTGAAGGTGAGCACAATCTTTACCAATTTTCTCATCAGAGCAATGCAACAGATGTTTGTTTGGTTCATGTCATGCATTAGTTGGATGACATCGTCAAAATTGTCTGTCGGATGAAAGCGGATTGATTACAATGTTTCGATGAAACAATTATGTACACTTTGACATGTGATCGGGAAAAATGCAGCACCGCTAAACAACGGCAATAGTGAAAACTATAGCGTATTTCTTGTTCCAAACAAAATGCAGCACTGCTAAACAACGGAAAGTCCAGGATGAGAGCGACTTGAATTCATTGGTTGTCTTTGCTATTGTTCTCATGCCTCGTTAGCAGTTAGTCCCGAAATTTCTTTGAGTGGCTTCCACACAAATTTCCTCCTGCCAATATATCGGTTTTTTTGACATAATTGTAAGAATGATCTTTGCCATGAAAGTACGCATGAACGCTTAAAAATGTATGGAAAAAAAAAGACATTTGGCATTACCAGTTTCCACACTCCGCGATGACCCTGACTTTGGGACGGAGGGTGGGAAGCAGAGCAAGAAACTGCAACTCTGCCTTCGACAGAACCTGAAGTACATGGGACAACATTAATGTGCTTGAATTCCTATTTTGCTTCGGGAAGCGATTTTCGCAGTCCGCTTTTGGTTACAAGAGTAAATACCTTGGCTTCAATGATCCAGACTACAAGGCCTTTGGCCTTTGGAGGCAGAGCGGCGAGCCTGTAATCCACCTCTGGTGGGAAGTACCATCTTGATATGGGCTGCTTCCCTAGATGAGGCTACTTTCCAACAATAATCATTTGAGTAAGAAGAATACAAGAAAATGGCCTCTACAATTTGACATGAACACGAAAAGTAATAATCTGATAACATAACATGTTAGATATCTAAACTTACCGGACAAACGGGGTGGACCTTGGTGAGGGTGGTCTCAGGATCACCGAGCCCTCGCGCACTGAGGTCCAGAAAATAGTAGCCCTGGTACGTCAGGCGGTTAAGATAACGCCCCTCGTACCCTCCTTCATGGGGAGAGTAGACAGCAAGGGCCTTGTGTTCTTCGACGTCAGAAAGCCAACGGCCAAGATCAAATCTCACCAAGTCTCCTCCTATGAAGTCCTCTATCCCTCTCCCACACCTTATCATTCCAGCCCTCTTGGATGCCTTACCATTTCCATGTCCCCCACACAATCCCACCATTAGCACCATGCTTCTGTTTCCCTTCAGCTCATTGTTTCCGATGAAGCTGCTTCGAGGCGGTGGCTGCTTGTGCCGGATATTCGCGGAGACGGGAAGATTCGTTCCTTGCTTGAAGCAGTTTGCAGCCGCCATATTCTAACTGGAAAGGAAGATAGTGATGGTGTGGGAGAAAATGCCATTAGCGGGAAGGAAATGGAAATTAGATAAAAGGTTGTGAAAGAAACAATGCCAAGACACTGCGTTTGTATGGTGAGCAATGAAGATAAGAAATCACAACTCTCTCCTGTACTAAAATGTATGGTGCTTGTGTTTGTGGGGAAAATAATAAACTCATGTTTGAAAGTACTTTTAAAATGATTGAATTAGGATGTGCTTTTTTTAAGAAGCACTTGATGGTTTTCACAATTCATTTGCGTTTTTACTAATGACTGGTTCAAAAACATTTTCATCGAAAACGCTTTTAGTCATTGTAAAAGTACTTCCAAACGAGTCTTTCAAAATTTTAAAATATATTTTGGAATTATATTAAGGATATGTTGAGTAAAACTTTAATTTTTTTTATTATAGAAAGTGAAAGTTATGTTGATGACAGTCGTGCATGGATATGAGACGTAATTACATACATTGTCGATTTGGTGAATCTCATATTGCATACGCCTTCTATCAATGTTAAAAGTTAAACATTGTAAAATGTATTGTGAAATTATAAGGATATCTTGAGTAAAGCTTATATTTTTCTAATTCTAGAACGTAAGAGCTGCGTTAAGGACAATCGTTTATGCTCTTTGGGTGCAAGCTACCAAAACTATCTGCAAGTTGCCATAAACTATCGAGTTGGTGAATCTCACAATACATATCGATTTTGGAATGTATTTTGAAAGTGTGTTAGGAATGTTGAGTAAAACTTTCATCTTTAAATTATTAAAAAGTAGGAGCTACGTCAAGATGTTCATGCACACTAACATAACGTACACTAAATTCTTGGTTTCATGGACTCACAATGGAGATCCATTCCATCAACGTTTCACTTTAAAATTATTAATTTGTTGAATCTCAATGTCCCATAATCTGAACCATTTCATCGACATTCTCACGGTCAACTAGGGTAACATTATATAGTGAAGTTCAAATTCTACCATAAACAAATTTACAATACCGAAAACAGCATAATTTCTTATAATAATATGCAAAATACTCTTAATGAATGAAAAATATTATGATTATGGTAAAACATATCATAGAGATTTGACGTGAAAAACAAAGTGTCAGTTGTTGACTATATGACATACTCCCCCTTTCTCTTTATACTTGAAACCAGCAGCGTAAAATAAATTTAGAACATATAACATTTTGAACCAACAATTAAATACAAATTCAATTATTCGAAATGATTATCATATGATTCTAATTTGCTGACGCTTTATAACACGTGGACTCCCCCCTGCCATGGGGCTCATGCCCCTCTCCTTGGCCCAGCAACCATACCATACGCCGAAAGAACCCAATATTCTCCTACCGAGTAAAAGCTTTGAACTTTGGAAGACCAACAATGGCTATGCTTTGAAAATCATCAAAGAATCAACCTTGACTTTCTCCCCCTTTCCCTTCTTCTCTGTCCTGATTCATCCTTCCCTCACTCCATAAAGCCTTCCCAATTTAGGGTTTTCAGATTTTCCCTTTGTGCTAAGCTTGCTGGCTGGGTCCAAGCAACAGCCAACAACTAGAAGAAGAATGCTGGGTCCCACCGCGTCGAAGTGGCACAGAGCCGGCGGGATTCTCCTCCACCTGAAACCCCACCGGAGCTTCCAATCAAACGCCTTCACCACCAGAACCGCCTTCCACGGCAGGCCCATTCGTCTCCCAAAGCCTTTGACTTCGAACATCGTCCGTACAGCATCAATACTCCCTTTCCGCGTTAACGCCTTCATCGCCGATGGCACGTCCGCCCCTTCTCCGCCGGAAGGGCGGTCGTTGTTCTCCACATCCCCGGACAAGAACAACCCGACTCCTACAGTTTCTAAGGGGAATTCCGTCGAGCAGATTACGGACGTGCAGATTTTCCGAACTCTTGCCAGTTACTTGTGGATGAAAGATAACTATGAATTCCGCATCAGGGTCATTGCTTCTTTGGGGTTCTTGGTTGGCGCGAAGGTACTCAATGTGCAGGTGCCTTTCCTCTTCAAGCTTGCCGTTGATTGGTTGAGCTCGGCCACTGGCAATGCCACTGCTCTGGCTTCTTTCACCGCCGCCAATTCGACCCAGTTGGCTCTTTTTGCAACCCCGGCTTCGGTTTTGATTGGATATGGGATTGCACGTACTTGCGCTTCTGCTTTCAACGGTACTACTACGCATAAAGTAATTGCTTTGCTCATACCATTGTCTTTGGATATTCATGCTTAAGTGACATGTTTATATGGAACCGGGGTTGTTGTTTATATCTAAAATTTTGCACAATTGTATGGTTGTAGAATTGCGGACTGCCGTCTTTTCTAAGGTAGCGCTGCGAGCAATCCGATCAGTATCTAGGAAGGTATGAGAGTAGCATTCCCCAACATGTTTCCTTTATTGGTTACATATATAGCATGCTTGGATTAGTCTAAGAAATTAGATTTTTTATCCTAAAGTCTTCCATGACAAATGCAATTTCAACTTTTTGCAGGTCTTCTCTCATTTGCACGACCTTGATCTTCGATATCATCTTAGGTATCTATATCTATTACTCTCCATGTTTGTTTAGAATGTATCAATTAGTTGTAGAGGAGGGCTGAGAATTTAGTTGTCCTTTGGGGAGGTCATATCGTGCTTTAGTTTGTAATAACAGCCTTTTCAATAAAGTTGATATTTTGAGCTATTAGTTGCATGCTGACAATTGTGTTATCCCTTGTCTACTTAATTTCAGTCGAGAAACCGGTGGACTAAATAGAATAATTGACCGTGGTAGCCGTGCGATAAATTTTATTCTCTCGTCTATGGTGTTCAATGTTGTACCCACCATCTTAGAGGTATGATCTGTACCTTTGGTTATTGTCAAGCTTGTTGACATGTATACACTGGACTTAGTAACGTTGTGCTGTTATTCGTACAAAGGTTGATGTTCCATCTCACTTCGTATATATAACAGAACTACATTACTAAGTTTCTAAACAAATTCAACTGATTGACATGTACCTTTCGGTCCTTTCCAGATATCTATGGTTTCAGGTATACTGGCTTACAAATTTGGAGCACCTTTTGCGTGGATAACTTCACTGTCAGTTGCTGCATATATCGCATTTACATTGACTGTCACACAGGTATTGTGTCTCTTGTCAATTGTTTGCTTACAGTTTCTGGAATGAATTGTGCACTTTTTTCCTGTTTGTTAGAGCATCAGCGAGGGACTAGCTAATGAAAGTGCCACAGCTAAAATGTAGAGAAATTTCAAAAAAGATGCCCACATCATACTACTAGCTATTTTGTCCCTAAAAGTTACTCAACCTCTACGAGCTCATACATATGAGGGAGAGAAAGTGATTCCTAGTGACTTGCTATCTAATATTTTAATATAATTTGTGAGCAAACTTCTTCATTTTGAATATTCTGGAGAGAGAAAAAAAATTTAGAAACATTCATGACTACTTAAAGTAGGCAGCAGGGTTGGAGTAACAATTCAAAAGTGGCTAGCTAAAATGAATTTTTTGTAATTTTAGCTGAATATGAAGAGTCCCCTTGGGGATGCTCTAATTTCTATTCCTTGTAGGTGACACCTTTTTTCTTTTATTAGTGGTCTGTATTGGCATAGAGGTCGCACTTGGTGCGATGGCAAGTGCCTTCGCCCATGAGCGGTAGGTCTCGGGTTCGAGACTTGGGAGCAGCCTCTCCATAAAATGGGGGTAAGGCTAGCCGACATTCACCTCTCCCAGACCCTGCGTAAAGCGGGAGCCTTGTGCACTGGGTACGACCTTTTTTAGTGGTCTGTATTGGCATGTACTTTTTTCTTCATACATGCATATTATGCCGTATTGAGCTATGTCTAGAAATATCTTGAACCATTTCATCATCTTATGCCGTCTATTAATATGCTGATAGCTTTTGGTTTATGAACTTTTCGTTAATGATTTTCTTGCCTTTACAGTGGAGGACTAAGTTTAGGAAGGCCATGAATAAGGCTGATAATGATGCTAGTACAAGGGCAATTGATTCACTTATAAATTATGAGGTAACGTGATGTACTTTGTATGGCTTCTACTCACTTTATGCACAAGATGCCTTCAAGTCCCTTATCTTTTCAAGTTATTTTTCTGTTATTTCATCATCTGATGCTATTTTCTTTCAACAGACTGTGAAATATTTCAATAACGAAACCTATGAAGCCACTAAATATGACGAGTACTTAAAGAGTAAGTTTTTTTCTTTTTTATATTGTCACAGTTTGTAGTATGTTGCATGGTTATCAATCCTGAATTAGCATTGGTCTGGAAACTAATATGAATTAAACCCACTAGTTCATGGTACACAAAATGTAAAAGCTGTTGTTAGTCTTTCTGATAAACTTAAAGTCATAAAATTCTTTCATTATGACATATGCACTGCTTGCTTACTGGTCAAGAAAATTCTTTCATGAACCAACTTTGATGCTTCCTTCTGTTTCATGCATTTATGGGTTTGCATGGTAATCTCAGGTGGCATTCCACCAAGCCGACTTTTTTTACTTTATTGAGTGTTCTTTGTGGGTTATTTCTTCCCACGGTATTGGACATGTTGTTCCACCCTGAAATATTTTGCTTTCACTAATAATAGTAGTTTTTTTTTTACCCTAGTTTAAATTGAGCACTTATGTACCCCAAAATCTTATTTTCATGGTTTCTTAATGCTTCTTCTGTTGCTTTTCGTTATTCAATCTTTCAGGGTATGAGGATGGTGCTTTAAAAACACAACGCAGTCTTGCTTTTTTGAACTTCGGCCAAAATATTATATTTAGCACGGCTCTGTCAACTGCTATGGCGTTGTGTTCAAATGGTATTATGAGTGGCAATATGACAGTTGGTGATTTGGTAATTTTCCTTTAGATACTGACTTAGTTTTTAAATTTTTATTTATTTCAAAGTGATTCTCTAATGCTCATTCAAATTATGGTTGAATCAATACACAGGTCATGGTGAATGGACTTCTGTTCCAGCTCTCGCTTCCACTCAATTTTCTTGGTAGTGTTTATCGTGAGACTATACAGAGTCTGGTTGACATGAAATCTATGTTTCAGTTACTGGAGGTAAACGAAGGAACTTCACAGTTTACTTGCAAGTTGGCTGTCAGTTGATGTATAGAGTGTTTCTCTTTATCTTTATTTTTTATTCACTTTTTCACTATAAAAAATCTATCTTATAAATTATATTGGACAAAACCTATGCTCTTTCTATTTTCAAGCCTTGTTGATGAAGAAACAAGAAGGAAATATATATAACACTCTTATTTTTTTACTTGTGAGATTGTACTTTGTACTTATAACTTTTATATGGATGAGATAGATTTTGTTTGCCATTCAAGTTATTTCAATATTTGTTATCCTGTACATTGGTGAGTTGGCAATTTTTCACTTTCTAATACGCTTTTCTTGTTTCAACTTGTACTTTTGTTTCGTTACTACCGTAGGTAAAGGCTGAAATTGGTGACAAAGCTGATGCAAAGCCTCTGGAGTTACGCGGGGGGAGCATTCAGTTTGACAATGTACACTTCAGGTGGTGTATGCTTCTCTTTCTATCCATCTATTATTAATGGAGCATTTCATGATCATTGATTTTTAATATATAAAGGCTGAGAGTTCGAAGACTTTTTTTCTTTTATAATTTTGGGTGTTTAAAAGAACTGGATCACAGAAGAAGGCTTTAATTGGGTGCGAGTGAAGGCTTTGCTTGCCTTCCCTCTGAGCCGGCATTTCTCAACATCATTAACAACTTAGAATGATGATGTAAAGGGTTTCTTGGATGATAGACGTGATCTTTATGTCCCAGATTTGCATGTGATATTATTATAAGTATATTGTTTGTATGATCCATTGCTGATGCACTATATTTTCCTATTTTCCATTTATGCAGTTACCTGAAAGAAAGAAAGATTCTTGATGGGATATCATTTGTTGTGCCTGCTGGAAAGAGTGTGGCTATCGTTGGAACCAGCGGAAGTGGTAAGGAGACCGTCTCTTGATACAATGTTCCTTTCCTCATTGATATAATATAATGTTCGACATGAAATACTATATGTTTATGGTTTGTGTGCTTCCTTTGGTGACATGGTTCAACCATGGTTCTGCTCATATTGTTTGATGTAAGCCCGGCGGTTATTAGGATAAGCAAGTGATGCCCATGCATATTTATTTCTTTTATTTTTAGTTTTATTGCATGATACAGCGTATGGAGGGGTGGGAGGGTTATAAATTCAAGGAATGGTGGCAATCGGAGCAAGTGGAGGGGTGGGAGGGTTATAAATTTATGATCAAGTTAAAAGCCATGAAAAAAAAGGTGCAAAGCTGGAGTAAGGAGAGCTTCGGCGAGATCGAAAAAGTATTGACAGAAGTGGAAACAAACATAGAGGAGTTGGACAGGAGAGAGGGGTTGGAAGGCTTAGATTTTGAAGCTAGAAGTAAAAGGGAAGAACTCCAAACCCTTGTAGGAGACTTGGCTTTTAAAGAAGAAGTGAAATGGAGGCAGAGAAGCAAAGTGGAATGGGCAAAGGAAGGGGATGGTAATACAAAATTCTTCCATCGAGTTGCAAATGGGAGAAGGAAGAGAAACTATATTGAGAGGTTAGAGTCGGTTGGAGGGGGAATAATAGAGGATGCAAAAGAGATCGAAGAGCATATTGTCAATTTTTTCAGATCCTTATTCAGCAGTAACGACGAGGCATGTTGGGGTTTGGAAGGGATAAATTGGGCTCCAATAAGCGCCATTCAGGCAAGTTGGCTTGAGAGGCCTTTTGAGGAAATAGAAGTTCAAAGAGCAGTTTTCGATTGTGGAAAGGATAAATCACCAGGACCAGATGGCTTCTCTATGCAAATGTTTCAACATTGTTGGGATATTTTGAAGAATGATATAATGAAGATCATGGGAGAGTTCTTTGAGAAAGGGATAATAAATGCAGTGACGAACGAGACTTTTATTTGCCTGATCCCGAAGAAATCAGATTCTTTGAAAGTGACGGACTATAGGCCCATAAGCTTAGTAACTGGATTGTATAAAATTATAGCAAAAACACTGGCTTCAAGATTGAAGGAGGTTTTGGATACCACTGTCTCTCCGAATCAGGGGGCGTTTGTTAAGGATAGACAAATTTTGGATGCTGTCCTCATTGCAAATGAAGTGGTAGAAGAGGTGAGGCTGAAAAAAGAGAAGGGATTGGTGCTTAAGATCGACTTTGAAAAAGCGTATGATCATGTTGAATGGAGATTTCTGGAAGTACTTCAAAGAAAAGGTTTTGGCAATAGATGGAGGAAATGGATGCAAGGATGTTTAAGCTCTGCAAATTTCTCCGTTTTGATCAATGGAAGGCCAAGGGGAAAATTTCAAGCTTCAAGAGGTTTGAGACAAGGCGATCCACTGTCACCATTTCTTTTCACCTTAGTAGTCGATGTTTTGAGCAGGTTAATGGAGAAGGCACAAGAAACTGATCTCATCAAAGGCTTGTGTATCGGCCAAGAAAAGGTGGAGATATCTCATCTTCAATTTGCCGACGACACCATTTTCTTCTTGACGGAAGACGAGGAAGTCTGGAACAACCTAATCCAAGTGCTTAATTTATTCTGTTCGGTCTCAGGATTGAAAATCAACAAAGCTAAGTGCTTTTTGGCTGGGATAAATTCAGAGAGTGAGAAACTAAATAGGTTGGCAGTTTCCTGGGGGTGCGAGGTAGGATGCTGGCCGATAAAGTATTTGGGGCTTCCCCTTGGAGGAAGGCCAAGAGCAATAAAGTTTTGGGATCCAGTGGTAGAAACAATGGAAAGAAGACTTCAAAGTTGGAAGAAGGCTTTCCTATCCAGAGGGGGTAAATTAACTCTAATTCAATCAGTCCTGGGAAGCATGCCGATTTACTATATGTCCTTGTTCAAAATTCCATGCGGGGTAAGAGGACGTCTAGAAAAATTAATGAAGGGGTTTCTATGGGAAGGCATGGAGGAGGGTAAGAGAACACATTTGGCCAAGTGGGAGTTAGTTACTAAAAACAAGGAGGAAGGAGGTCTAGGGGTGGGGAACTTGAGGAATCAGAACGAAGCATTATTGGCTAAGTGGTTGTGGAGACTCCCAAGGGAGTCACAGTCTCTGTGGCACAAGGTGATAAGAAGTAAGTATGGGCTACAAGCTAATGGATGGGATGCACTTCCTCAAAGGAGGGTTTCAAGTCGAAGCCCATGGAAAGACATTTCGAGTGGTTCTCATCAGTTTCTCAGTTGCTGCACGTTTGAGGTGGGCAACGGAAAGAGGGTGAGGTTTTGGGAGGATGGGTGGTTAACAGGGGGACCGCTGAAGGAGCAATTCCCCAGACTATTCCTACTATCGAGGAAGCATAATCAAAACATCTCGAGCTTCGTGGAAGTTTCATCAAATCCTTTGAGTTGGAACTTTGATTTTAGGAGAAACTTGAATGAGATGGAGATAGTAGAGGTGGCCACATTATTACAGAAACTGGAAGAGGTTCGATTGTCTCCATTAAAGATGGATATCAGAAGGTGGAATCTGGAGGCTTCAGGTTTGTTCTCATGCAAATCTTATCGTTCATTACTGAGCAGCAATGGGAGTGTGCACTATTTTCCACCCTACCCTCAGATTTGGAAATCAAAAGTTCCTCCGAAGGTTAAAATACTTGTATGGCTTGTGGCCAATGGGAATCTAAACACATGCGACAGAATTCAAAGGAGAAACCCTCTTATGTGCTTATCACCACATCGGTGTAGCTTGTGCAAAGCCAAGGAGGAGAGTGTAAATCACATCTTTCTTCATTGCTCCTACTCGATCCAACTATGGTGGAAATTGTTACAGGAGGTTAAAGCAAGTTGGGTCATTCCTAAAGGGTGTTTCGAGCTACTAAGCACAAACTTTAAGGCACTTGGAAAAAGGAAAAAATCCAAAGTTTTGTGGGGTTGTCTGGTATCGGCAATTTTCTGGAATATATGGCTGGAACGCAACAAGAGGATTTTTGAAGATTATACTGGAGTGGGGGCAGAAGAACTTTGGGGGAGAGTAAAATATTGGGCAGCTCTTTGGGCCTCGGTCACTAAAGAGTTTAATAATGTTTCTATCTCAAATACTATGGGATTTGTTAGCAGCAGTTAAGTGAGCTAGGTCTAGAAATGGCTGTTGTAGCCAAATCCTAAGGGTTTTTCCTTGTTATACAGTTAGTGGACTTCTTATCCACTTCTGTGCTGTTTTCTATTCTTTAATAAAATTGTTTCTTCTCAAAAAAAAAATACAGCGTATGTTTATTTTCTCAATATGCATGGATTTATGAATGTATTGAATTTGCATTTGCCTGCAGGCAAGTCCACCATTCTCAGATTGCTCTTCAGGTTCTTTGACACCCATTCTGGAAGGGTAAGCGAACTAATTCTGTTTTCTGTTATTGTTTCCTATTGGTACAATATGGGCTTTATTTACAAAGCATGCAGTGTTATCTTAGTGTTTGAGTCTGATCCTGATGGTTCAAGTCGCGAGTGGTCGTCACTTGTTAGGTTTTGCCTTGCTTATTGTCGTTGCTGAAAGTTTTTGTGCTGTTTGCAATTTCTAGTCATTTAGACAAAGTTTTATGATGATAATAGTACTTTAAGAACTTGCCATCAATGTACTCATCAGCTCAAAACATATTTTAAGCTGTTTTAAATTTTTAATCTGCTAGGTAACAGGAAACAGCTTGGTTATCACCACCTAGGGATGATTAAAGATTGAATTATTAAAAGGAAGAACATAAATATTCCCCAAAAATAACAAGCTATGTAACTAAACAAGGCATTGGATTGAATTATGACTTGAATTAGAGATGACCAAACAAGGGTTGAATTAAGAGGTTTTAATAAATTGTATTTCACGTCGTTGTACTTTTATGCGCAAACGGAAGTGAATTATAACAAAGTACCAAATATCAATGTCGTAGGTGAAAGCTAAAACAAACAGTCTCAAACTAATACAAGAGATTTACGTGGTTTGGCGTAAAGCCTACTCCACAAGCGAAGCACGGCGATGAATTTCACTAAACAAATGGAGATTACAAAAGAGTGTTTAAACTCTCACAACCCAAATCCTACAAATTACAAACCCTAAACCAAACGAGTAGAGAACCCAAAACTAATGGAGAAGATTCTCCCAAATTGCTCTCTAACTCACAAATTGACTCTCACCAAATTGTCACACGAATGAGCCACACAAAATACACTAACCCTAAGGTCCTATTTATAGTGCATAGGACTTAGGTTACAATAGGAATCCTAATAGGAAATAAATCCAAATCCTAATCAAATAGGTAATTAACAAAATCTCTCCACCAAGAAAACTAACTAAGAAGTCAAAACCAAACCCAAATAGGACACCAAAACCAAATAGGTAACACAAACCTAATTTATTGCATCATCCTAATTTTGAGCCAAAAACCCAACACGTCAAATGGACAGTCTTCCCATTCTCATAAAAAGTTTGTCATTGACAGATAAAGATAGATGGTCAAGATATTCGGGATGTGACACTTGAGAGTGTACGGAAGTCTATTGGTGTTGTACCCCAAGATACGGTAAGTCCAAATAAGCAACTTCAATTTTGTTTTGTTTCTGGTTTTAGTTGGTACTACAGCAAACTCTGAGGTGGCTGTGCAAGATCTTGCTGGTCTTAAGTAGTAACAGCCTAATAAGGAAATATCTTGTGGTTCATTGGCAGGTACTTTTCAATGATACGATATTTCACAACATTCATTATGGTAATCTTTCAGCAACAAAAGAAGAGGTATAAGATGATGAGTATCTCTTTTAATTTTATTCTTTGAAAAGCTTATTGTGCATTGTTTAATCTACTGTGCTATTTTCTTGGCCTAAATAATTATTTTTTATTAGGTGTATGATGCCGCTCGACGCGCAGCAATACATGACACTATCATGAAGTTCCCTGACAGGTATTCTACTGTTGTAGGGGAACGAGGGCTTAAGGTGAGAATACTGATACTGTCTACCGATTAATTTGTTTGCTGTAGTCATGGAATAAACATCCCCCTCTGAGGGCTAGGTTGGGTTAGGGTACTACATGAGTTTAATGTAATCTTTTTAATGTTGACTGTTTGTTAATCCTTCGTGGAACTATTGAATTCTGAAAAAATTGATAATAATTCTGTGCAGTTAAGTGGTGGTGAGAAACAGCGTGTGGCACTGGCTCGTGCATTCTTGAAAGCACCTCCAATTCTGTAACCATTCTCTTCTTTTTCCATAATTTTTTTCTTTTTATTCAAGCTCTAATCTCCTTCAAGGAGAAAGTGATTATTTTATGATGTTCTTTTTATTTGATATCCACAGTTTATGTGATGAAGCTACAAGTGCACTAGATAGCACCACAGAAGCAGAAATATTAACTGCATTGAAGTCCTTGGCAACTAATCGAACATCAATTTTCATTGCCCATAGGCTAACCACTGCAATGCAGTGCGATGAGGTAAGCATTCTTCCACCTGTGTGTGGATTCTCCTGCATTTTTAAATCCTTTTCACCTTAACATCTAAGACTTTGTAATTCTTAAGTTGGGTTCGTGGACATGAAGGAGTGTATGAGTTGCAGTTTTGTCATACCTTTTAAACTATTGAACTCCTTAGCTATTAAGGCCTTGTTTGATGGCAACACTTGGCTTGCATTGGATAACTCGCTAGTTCAATGAATCTTGAAGGAAAAAGTAGACGTTCAGTTGAATAGTTTGTCCAAGTGTAGGTAGAAGATGGATTAGGAGTGATAAGTTTTCTTCACAATTAATCTATCTCATGCTTTCCACTTCATTCAACATGCATTGAATCTAGTGAGTTGCCCAATCCCAGACACCAAACGAGGCATAAATGTTTTGTTATCAAAACCTTTGTTGGACTACCCTCTGTCCTACAATTCCTTTAACTTTTCATATTCCTCTCTTTTCGAATCAAATCTCAGATAATAGTTCTGGAAAACGGGAAAGTAGTAGAGCAGGGACCCCATGATGTTCTCTTGTCTAAGGCAGGAAGATATGCACAGCTCTGGGGACAGCAAAATAACACAATTGATGCGCTTGATTCCACCGTTAAATTGGGGGCATGACCTTGTTCCTATTCCTCCACCCCTATCCCTCCCAAAATAAGAAAGAGTGGCTTAAGAAGCTGTTTTTCTGTCAGTCTTGCTGTACTTTATTAGCCGCCTTGGATAATCAACTTATACATATATTGAATTACTATACATGAGGATGCACTTGGGTTTAAGCAATGCTCTCACTTGCGCTTGAAAGATTGATAAATGGCATGTGGATTTCTCCATACAATTCTTCTATGATCTTCACTTGACCAAGTTTCAAGCACATGCTTCTATGATAAGGTAAGTAGTACTGCTTGGTTCCGTCTGATAAATTGTACAGAAGCCAGTTTAACTTTGAGAAGCATGCACTGTGTTACCGGGGAAGCCTATGAACATCGGAAGAAATTTTGTGTAAATTATCTAACTGATACCTGAAGTAGCTTCTTAACTATAGCCTTGCTGCTTAGGATTGAATTCAGTTCACTTTTATACATCATTTTAGGAAGGATTGTAGAATTTTGTTGGCTTTGTGCTTTTAGTTCTATCCGGCCATGCACAAGATGTAAATCAGTGTAAAATTTTGCCAATTTGTGTTTACACATGCATCTTCTTTTTCGCGCAAATTGCGCCTAGCATTGTGTGAATTTATGGATCTTTAGTGTTTGTGGAGTGAAAGGTAATTTTGCATACGTTATTCTTTTGTCGTATAGATAGCAAGATTGTGTAATGTATAAGCGTTATGCCAAATCTGGCGTAAAAATTGCATGTTGAACAGATTAGGAAGTTACTGGCACTTTTAGAAGTCGAGTTTGTTCATCGCACAGTTGTCAAAATAATCGTTGCATGTAACGCTTACTTGGCCACCTACCCTGAGCACGGACAAAAGTGCCTGGTGTATAAACTTATCTCTGGAGAAGTCCTTGATCACTTGAGTCTGAGAGTGACTTAAATGCATGTTATGTGATGAGAATTTTGCCAGTTTTGAAAGAGTTCTAGGGTTGTGACTGTTCATTTGGTAATTTTACCTGCACTTTCCCATTTGCTTTTACCTCAACTGCTGCATTGGCTCTGTCATAAGGTTTGTTCTCTTGTCTTTGCTCAGATCGACCTTTCCTTCCATGTAGAATCTGTACATAGCTGCATTTTTACAGGGTTTTTTTGTAACATCTTTGTTTCGAGCTTCTAAGGTCCGGTTGGAGGGGTTGTCCCGTCCCGTGTTATTTTTCTTATTTGGTTTACAGTAATTTTTCATTTGCCTGTATCCTTTATAACCATCCTTGCTTCAAATTTTGAAAATACAAAAATTTACTTGTGCTGCAAAAGGAAAAAGAGGGGAGGAAGACTACCATTTGGCCTATGTAGCATTCTTTCTTATTCTCCTCTCCTTTTGCATGTACATTTTAACACTGGATCCTCAATGTGGGAGTTTGAAATTGAGTATAGAATTGAGGAAATCAAAATAGGATGTGGGAAAAGCCAGCGGGAATGCTTCTTCAGGAAGCACTTATGCGAACAAGCGTTTTTGCTAGATGCACGTTCAAATTTGAATTAAAGTCTTAAATGTTCTTTTGAAAGTGCTTTTATAAACTAGAAACACTTTTCACTTTTTCTGTCAAAAGTTGCCAGAGACGGGTTTTTTTTTTTGCTATTTCAAGGCGTTTTTAGCCTTTTTGAAAGCACTTCTAGACGGATACCTCTAGAAAACAGGAGTTGTGGTTATTTAATAAATTATCGGGGTAAAAGTTTCATTTTATCATAAGGAAATATGTTTCAAGCCGTTATTGTTTGACAGGGAAAAAAAGAAGAAAGAAATATTTTAAACTTGCAAACCTTCTCTCTTTGTTTAGGCAGTGCTTCTTCAAAAATCACTTTTATATCCAAGTGTTTTTGCTAGAAGTACGTTGAAAATTAATTAAAATATGGAAAGTACTTGTAATGCGCTTTTATAATCTAGATGTATGTCAAACACGGACAAAAACGTTTTTTGTCAATAAATCATCGTGGTAAAAAGTTCTAGTTCTAATTTTCATGAGAAGGAAATTTGTTTCAAGCCATTGTTGTATGAAAAAAGTAGAAATATTTTCACCTTGCCAAAACATTCTCTTTGTGGTAAAACTAGCAAGGAAAGTGACATCATCAGTGACGAGCTGTAAAATGCTTTGGTGATGATGCTGACGTGGGTGCATCCGTTACAAATGAATTGGTATTTTGCATTTACCGAATTACCAAACTATTCATTTGTTGTTTTCTTCACCTTTTAACAATTAATAATTTAACCTACTAACGCTAACGTTTGTATAAAAAAAAATGTTTTCAAGTTCTTGAATTTCTTATAAAAGCTGATATCTAAATAGTACATAAAATTAGAAGCGAATTATATACAGGAACTGATTACAAACTTTAGTAAAAAATGAAACTCGAGAACACTAAATCGTGTTTTATGTTCGACATTATTATAGGTTTAGTATGCCTCTGGCTCTAGTTTTGACTAAAAGTTTGTAACCGGCTTTTTTGTGCGCATTTTCTATATTACAAACATGGGTTGAAATTAAAATGTATATGGCACAATCCAGGGATGGAAATATGGGAGGGAAGTGAACTAGTTGAAGGGAAAAGGAAGAGTGTCCGAATTTCGGCATTGAAGGAGGCTAAGAAGAACAAAGAAATCCCCAAATCCAAAACTAATGTCGGTAGCGAGAATGATAAGACACCTATTGCAGCAAAAGCAGCAGCTTCTGGTTCCAAGAGGGGCCGAAAGCGCAAAAAACTTGAAGATGTAGTTCTATCCTCTCAACAGGTCGTTCTGTCCCTGCCTTACTCTTACATTATGTATTGACACAAATTCTCTGTAGTGTATCAATAACACATCGGGACTTATTGACAATGATATCGACACCTTAACGATACAATGTTCGCTTAAGTGAAGAACTGACTTATATATGTGCATGCATAAATTGGAACTCTAGTTTATCTTGGATACTTATTTCAGCTGCAGGGTCCTTTCCACAAGTTGCGACTCAGCAATCCTTCCCTTCTCATTTGCCGATGCATGCAAGTTTTTGAAGACCGAATACATGATCTCGATGCGAGCAAGATCAGTAAGACTCTTATTTCTAACATAGATTTTGTGTTTAGTTCAAGATTTCCGAATGCAGTAACGTAGTTATTGTTCATGTTGCAGATCAGCTGTTATCTACGCCAGTGGCGGTGAAACAAGTATGCGAGTACATCCTTAATACATTACAAAGGTTTGTGCGCATGCACATTGTTTTCTTTCTTCTGGAATGCTTGAATTACTAGTTGGAAAATCACTCAAGGACGAGGATTGTTCAAGTACGGTATGGTTTTTTAACCTAATCTTTCTGCTTTACATAGGAGGGACACACTTGATGTATTTGCTCAGCCTGTTGACCCTAAAAAGGTTAGCTATATACACGTTGCCAAATTTTTCTCACATTTGTTTCATCTTTCAAATCAGACAACAGTGATATGTTTCTTGGTTTCCAAGGTAACAACCTATTACACAACCATAAAAAAGCCAATGGATTTTGGCACCCTTAGAGATAAACTTCATGCAGAAGTGTATGCAACCCTGCAACAATTCAAGGTTTGCGCCAAAACAAACGTTCTTCCTCCTTTCCCTATTCTTTCTTCTTCTTTCTTGCAATCTTCAACTATCCTTCGTATCCGGTGTCCATCAGAAACCGGGAAAATTACCGCATCATTTTATGTTTTGAATTGCACCGAGTGGCATGTGTAATTGGCGAAATTATGAACTTTTTTTCTTTGAATTAACAGCGTGATGTGCTGCTGATACCCAAAAATGCAATTCGCTTCAACGGAAAAGCCACCATATATTACCAAGAGGTAGGCTAATTTATTTACTTCTTCCTTTTCATGGATTTTGTTTTTATAATATAAACTGCCATGAAAAGCTTAGTTTTCTTACCAGGCTCAAGGTATAAAAGATCTTGCCAACGAACTTTTCAGAACTCTGAGATATGATCGACGGCGTTTTCTGTTAAAATATTACTTCCATGAAATACTGTGCCCCGATGGGAATGGTGGAGATATACACTCAAAGTTTCTTGAACCAACTGGGAGGCCAAAGTTTTTTGAATCAACTGGCAAACCACGGCGCTTGTGTGGCTCATCTCTCAGAAGAGAAAAACAAGCAGATCCAAATCCTGGTACTTCTTGCAATGACTTAGAGACTGTTGATTAGAAGATAACTAAAACAGGCGGAATTCGAAGAATTTTTCTACCTTCATGCATTTTTATGGATGGAAAAGGAAGCTAACCTGGTTTGCCTTGCCCTTGCTTTGAACAGGACTGAGAGATGGTAGGGGCTCAAATTTAGCCGAAGTGCAGAGCCGTTATAGTTATTGTACGCCTACCAATGAGAATGAATCTTTAATCTCAGCTGTCTACAACGCCCCCAGCAAATCACTTGCCCATGTAAGTTACTATGATATAACCTCACCTCCATAAGGAAGCACAGCATGTTAGTTTTTTATACACAAGATTTTTCGTAACGTCTGCACCGATATGTTTTCATATGAAAAGAGAAAAGGACTTACTTGGCATGCAATTTGTTCCATGACCGGAGATTGTGATACCCTGCCTGTTTCATATGGTGCTCATAGAACTTTATGGAAGTGTTTGAAAAATGTTAACTTTGAGATTATTTACTGGTTTCGGCAAACTTGTTGTATAAGTATAAATAATTAAATATATAACTTCGTTGCTTCTTCTTGACAATGTAGATTGAAGCTGGTTTCGGATACAAAGAAAGTCTCATGCGGTTCATTAAAAATTTGGGGCCAACAGCTCAAATGGTTGCTAAGAAGAAATTAGAAAGTCTACTTGCAGCTCAGAATTGCCAGCCCCTGGCAACCCCTCCAATTCAGAACCAAAATAATCCGGCTGTCACCCTATCTGCATCACCAGCACTTGGTCATCCTATTGGTGTTAATGGTTCTCAAATGGCTCAGATGCAACATAATTCCCTGGATAACTTGCCAAGGGATGTGAATGCTTCTTGTTTCCATGGCGATGCTTCTGCACAAGGATATGCCCCGGTTAGAGCCAGTGTATGCATCAATGAGGGTGCTTACAAGGGAAAGATGAATGCAGCCGACACATCCAGATTAGGCATGGAGGGTAATGTCATTGACCCGAAAGGGAAGGCACCCGAGGAACAAGATACTTATGACAGAACTTTCCCGAAACGGATGGCTATTGACATAAACAAAACCATGGACTTCACCAGTCTTCCCAATGGCATAAGACTTCACGGGAGCAACATTGAAGGCAGGCCTCATCAATATCAGAACGGAAACGTTCAGTTGGGGTCGCACATTTGCGTTGTTAGAGATTTGGGTGGTCCTGGGACAAACAGCATAAAGTTTAGGACTGTGGATATGCTAGCAGAACGTAACAATGTAGGAAACCTGCTGCAGCAGCTTCCGCAAGCTCCGATGTCTAGGACTGCATCAAATCAGTCGAGGCTGCAAGAGATCACGTCGAAAACTAACACCTATCTGAGGCCTTCACCTGCTCCTGAGCTGTCGAGTTTGACCCAGGCAACAACTTCCTTCAATGGTTCCGACACGCAACTCAATAGAAACTATGCAGCTAACTCTTTTCGTGCAGGTCAGCTTCCTCAAATGAACAACTATATAGCTAACTCTGCACAGGCAGGTCAGCACAAGCCTCAATTTAACTGTCCCAATGCGGCGCAAGGTGTGCAAGAAATGAGTAGCTTTCCGAGCATGAAACTGAAGCTTGGTGAGGATCATAGTGCATTGGCAAAGGATGGCATGTATATGAGGAGAGAACAAGGGGAGGTGTCGCTGGCGGCTCGGGGAATGATGAAGCCTCCTCCCTTGTACAATGCATTTGGTGGCCATGAAAGAGCTACAACTCCATGGTACCAAAAGGAGCCTACTCCTGAATCTTTTCTGCCCTGGCAGGTGGACTCTCAGCAGCCTAACTTGGCTCTTCAGCTGTGAGTTGAGCTAAGGGAGGGGCTCCTTTGAACTTTCATCCCATGCATGTTGATCAAATGGACTTGTTTTGTATTAATCTTTTGAATGTCTTTTACCTTGTCCTAAGTTCAATGACGGTTTTATGTTTTATGTTTTATGTTCTAATGTGTAATGTCTCCTTTGAGTTGTTCATCTATGTCGTCCCTAAACTGCTTTGGTAGGCAACTCAGACTATGTTTTATGTTCTAATGTGTAATGTCTTCATTTGTGTTCATCAGTGTCCATCCCTTATTAACTGTTTGGTAGCATATCAGACTTCCCTTTAGGCTTCAAATTTTTTATTAATTATTGCGATATTTTAATCTAATTTAAACTATCAGAAAAGGGATTCGAATTTGCAGGCAGAAAAGAGAAAAGGGATTCGAATTTGCAGGCAAAAAAAAGAACGCTAATCTAACCAACTTGAATAAGCTAGATCTGGTAGGACTTCAAATTTCTTTTAAACGTCTGAACTCCAAATTGAATTTTTCCTTCACTTAGAAGTGAAAGTGCAAGAGGCTAAAAGATGAATGTCGAAATCTCTAACAGTGAATGAATCCTCACAATGCGGCATCAAAAGACTCGTAAGTTGTCAAAGAGGGCAAGTGAAAAGCAGACAAAAAGCACTCATTCCTAGTGAAAGCCACTTCACTTGATGGGCTGGCTCCTTCCTTCAATCCTTTATAGTATATATATTTTAATTAGGCTCGTGTGTACCATTCTAAACAGATACTTCACCATCCAATAACAAATAAACAAGTGAAAATTAATCATTAAACAACACATGCAGATATGTTAAGTTATTCAAATTTATGATTAACTTATCAACATGTCAACATATGATACGATGTTGGCAGGGTCATAACCACCTCTTACTATTTTAGTCTTTAGCTCTCAGGGAGGAGGGGACCATTACTGTACGTATCGTTTTCACTGACTAGGGTTTACAAGAGAGGACCACCTCACATGTCAATGACTCAATACTATGATAGGCTGAAAGTAGTTTAAAAAGTTGTGAACACTGACTATTTTATGACCCCTAGGGTTTGAGGAGATTTTTTTGGTTCTTAGTCCATCTTTTGTGGAGAGGTTTGATAAGTAGGTCTGGTAAGGTGAAAGCACAATGCATGAAGGTTTCTAATTGGATTCTATTCGGATACATTGTTAACTCACGCCCTAACAGTTTAAGCTGCAGAAGTCCAGTTGATGCATTGTTTCAGTTCTCGCAGAGATAGTCTTACCCAGAGAAAACTCATTCAACCGATCTCCATAATCATATAGAAGCTGCAAGCGTACAAGAGCAATTTCTCTTAGCATTGAGGAGTGTAAACTATTTTCCTTTTTCTTTTTAATTTGGTAAGGTGGCCTATTCTTTCCTTGCCTATCTTGGTAACAAAAAAGGTAGAACTAGGCATTTAAGTTTCCAAGTTGTCTAGTAATTCACTTCATGCACTATTGCATTGTTGGTTGATTTTCTAACAGTTAAAGCTTTTGCAGTCCAACAATTGTTCATGCATCGTTTCAATTCGAGTAAATTGAGGAAGCAAACACAAGAAGTGGGATGAGGCAACAATTCCCACTCTCATTATATATGAATACAGGGGTTCACTCACATCCAACCTCACTTCTTTCAAACCTAGCCGTGGAGATCGATCAGTTGTTGAGTGTACACGAGTCATATGAGAGCGTTCTCATCGGATTGAGATATAGATGCCTTGTGTATGCAAGTAATGTCTTTCCTTGCCCATATTGGTAATGAAATTGGTCGAACTAGGCACTCAGGCTTCCGAGAACGAAGTCTCGAGAAAGCATAAATATCTGTTGCCGTCTAGTAGATGACTTCATGCACTAGGCATTACGCAACGGCTATGGTAAGAATGATTAAAATTTTAAACCAAATGATACGTGACTAATAAAAAATATATACGTTAATCAACATTTAAATAATAATCCAAACATCAATTACCAGATCATTTAATTTACAAATTTAATTTAAAATTTTAATCTTTTAAGTACATATTTATTAGAATGACATCAACAACATAATAAAATAGGGCAACTGACAATGTGGAAACACACCCCCATATGGAAAGAATATTAATTTTACTGTAACATATGCTCATTACCCCATGAATACAATTAAAAATCTACTTCACTTGTACTTTCAATTTCTTTTTTTGTGTACTTCCATTATCGACAACCAATGAACTGGTTATTTTAATTCATTTCAGATCTTCATACACAAGTACGAATGATATACACGCACCACCTTAAAAAGGGTTTTCAGCTACAAACAAACAAGAATAACCCTACTCACAACTAAACTTCATAAGACTACTTGACTCGTTACTTATAAGAATCCATTGTATTCTGACACTCACAACTTTGACACATGCATCTAAATAACTCACAACTTAACATGTGCCCGTAAATAACTCTTTAAAATCACACAAAAAATAAAAAACAGACTTTTACATTCCAAATTGTAATTTATCAATTTGGGATGAATGAAAATGACCTAGAGAAAGCCATGAATTTTTCCCCTCTTGATTTTTGCCCAAGGGAAATCAAATTTGTGCAAGATAATGTTCAAGAAACAAACTTTCTGCTGATAATTAAAGACTAAAAAGAGATTGTAGGGTATATGTATATACAATAAAATATAGACCTCACGAATGCCGATGAAGCATGAAGTGCAGCAGTAGCATATAGCTCCAAGTTCCAACCTCTGCAATTCTGAGAGACTGAGAGACTGCGTTTTAGCCCCACCAGACGTAGACATGAGGCGGGATTTAAGATGCCAAAACGCATGCCATAAAACCCTACTTCCTAATTATTATGCGTTGCCAAACATTGCCAAAACAAAAAAGACAACCAACCACAGCCTCCATATTTCCCCAACATAAACATGGACATGTAAATTGTAAGCATCAAATGGAAAGCCCTCTCTCCTGGCGAGGGTTCAGGTTCACTTGCTAAAGTAGACACTGCTGGACTTGTACGTTCTGTACAGTAACATGTTTCTAGCTCTCTAGGTTTTACTAGAAATAACAATCTCTAAGTACCTCCCGTAGGAGAGAAAACTTACAGATTTAGCGGGGATATATATACCTACATACCCTCTCTAGTAGTATGTCTTTTGACTCTTTACCTCTACCTCCGGGAGAGAAACTTCAATGCAGCGGGATATACATCACCTCGCTCTAGCAACTTCTCCTTATTTTTTTACTAAAAATAACAATCTCTAGTCAAGTGATGAGTAAGAAAGAGAGGCAAAATATAGTCGGGACAGGAAAGTTCTTTCTTCCCTCAACAACCCACAATCATTTTGTTCAATTCAATGGAAATGTTTTGAAGGGGGAGGAGGTTGTTCACTCTCCCTTAAAGTTCCATGTCACTAATTTCACGAGTTGATCAGCCCCTTGCTCTTATTTCTTACTAGCCGCAGCCAAAATATAGGTATACAACAAAAAACGTACACAAATTTGTTACCAAATTTCAACGGTGTGACACAATTTCACAGCATCCATTGTAATAGACATAGCACCCTTGACCAATTAAGTTTAACTTGAGCACGTTCAAAATGCATAAACATAAATTTTGATGTAGAAAATTATGGAAATTAACGGAGAGAATTGTAAGTATAGTATCAGTAGAGAAATCGGCATAACTTATTTCACCTGAGGAGTGTAACAAAAAAAGTGCGGAGATAACCACAGTTCTGATCACTAAATACATCATCAAAAAAATGGCAAGGTAAACAATATATACAACAAAGAAGACAGTAAAAGGGAGCTCCCTTCAGTCCAAGCACAGAGAAGAAAAGAATGAAGTTATCTCCCGCATCATTCACACATTCACAGTAGAAATATCCACTCCATTTCTACTGAGTTTGAATGAATGAGTCGGCAGCTAATTCAAACCCTTTGCCCTTCCATGAGTGGACTGAAGAAAGCTCACTTAAACTATCTCTAAGATCACATAATACACATGATTCCAATAATATTTACTGCTCCATAAAAACTATTATTCAAAGGGATCGAAAAATGGAAACAAACATTTTGGTACGTATATGCTAATTCAGAAGAGGGGAAACAAGAAAGACCACCAAGAAGATTGAATTTTCACATTTTCACTAATGACTAGCTAATTGAACAAAATGTTATTATGATGTGGATGCAATTCCAAGTACATTTTTTGCTCTGATGCAACCATAGAAAATTTAATACGATCTCCCTTAATCATTTTGAAGTCTAATTAATAAATTGAAAACAAGCAAATGACAAGTTAAATAGTGATCACAGTATTGATTAGGGCTTCCTTGGATGGAATTTGTGTATGAAGATGATTAGCATTCAAATTTCATGTTCAAGTATATTCCATTAATAGTTATTACTGAAATGTTATAGAAATCCTGAAAGCAATAATATTAATTCTTACTGAAAACTTAATTATAGAAATCCTGCAAGCATAACTAATATTTATATTACTGAAATCTTACAGAAGTTTTGAAAGCAGAAATGTTCAAATCTAACCTAATTAGTAACTACTTAAAATCCTTTCACTTTAATGTTACAGAGCTCTTAAACCCAATTAACATATCTGTATTTTTTTGGGCTAATTCTTGTATATATTCTTATATAGGTGTAGAACTTTTACAAATTATCAGAAAATAGTGTCTAATTCCTGACTTTCCATGACTTGTAATGTAAGTCCAAGACTTGCTTTCTCTCCATTTCTTCTGATTCCATGACGCATAATTAGGACCAGATAATTTAAGTGGGATGTAATCCTTTTTATTCATTTCTCATCTTTTTTGGCCAAAATAGCATAGATCTCAAAGATAGTATTTCTTGCATAAACCCTAACCCTAAGTAAATGAAGTCCAAATATTATGAACCAGAGACTCACAACCACCAAAAACATATGTGCATTGCCATAGATGCCTATGAATTACCCTTAGCAAAATATATATAGTAAACAGAGATGGTATAATAGCTTTCACCACCACAATTTAGAAAAATTAAAGATTAAATTAGTAAAGATTGTGTAATAATTTTCTTCTACGAAAAAGAATCTCATCGTAAAATTAAGGACCTTTTGAGCCAAATAAATAAAATTAAGGACCTTTTTTTAGAGGTTAGGTGGGAACAAATAGATATAACGGGACGTGATAAAGGACCAACTTGTCAAAAATGAAGCAAACATATATATGATAGACTAAAGGACTTTCAG